CTCAAGTAGAAAGCAAATGTTTTGAGAATGATGATGGCAACAAATGTATAAATGTGCTTGACACAATGGATTTATATATGGATTGCGATAAGAGTTGTACAAGCTCCCAATAAAAGGATTTTTAAAAAATAATAGTTTTATTAGAATACAAAAAAAAGAATAGTGTCTGCAGTCTTAAAGGCCTGTTTTCAAACAAGCAGTCATCTAAATGAGGCATAAACTAAGTCCACATGGAAAAAGCACACCAGGCTCTGTGATCCAAGATAATAAATAATCCAAAAGAGGGGATGGTATCAGAACTTAAACATCTGTTTTACAGAGGTTATGGACCACAGTGGAAGCCCAAAATCCATTTGCAGGACCCCCCACATAGATTAAGTCTCTGATGAATTCCCTCTGATCTTAGTCTAGGGATGTGAATAGCCTTGTTATCAAGACTGTAACTCATTATGGGAGTAGATAACCTTATCTTAGTTCTACCAATGCTTACAAATTTACCAGTAGCAACTGAAAAGTGACTACACTTTCTGGAATCAAGGATTATATGGATTTTGCCCTACCATGGCTATTTATTCCTACCACTCTTAAATGCTTGCCCTGATAGTTACTAGAGGATTCTAACAAATGAACTAGAGGGAGGGACTTACAAAGTGTGCATTGTAATTTATAATAACGAAGTGCTAAGGCATCAGGGGTTAATTTTGCAAACCAATATCCACGGAAGAGGAAGAGAATCTGAGAGTAGGTACATTACACAAAACCTCAGCGCTCTGAAAAGAAGACATTCTCCTCCCAGAAGCAGCTGCAGTCACACAGGGGCAGGTCCGCCTTGTCCTGTAGGGATGCCACGAGCCTGAATGGACTCCACGGGAGTGAGCGTGTTGTGTTTTGTTTTGCTTTGTTTTGTTTAGCCATACTTGCTATGGTTCTGCTCGATTCTGTTTAGCAGTGTTTTCCTTATTCCAGACCTGGATTATGAAAATAGTTTCTGCTCTTTCATGTCATTAGCTATATTTCTGTAGCTAAATATCTGGATTTCAGCTCCAGCTCTGTGTTTCTGGTCCAAACTTAGTAACTTGACCTTAATTTCTAATTAGGAACCTGATCTTAGTAATTTGACCTTAATTTCTAATTAGGAACCTGATCTTGATTTTGTTCATTTGTATTGCCACTTTATTGCCCCAATATGTTAATACAGACATAAAGGTTTGGCATCACTGCCGATATATAAACTAAAAAAAAAAATGTTTCATTACCCAAGATGACTTAGAGGAGAAAATTTAATATACTAGAAATAAGATGAAGACTTTGGCAGAGAAACACAAATTCCTGGAGAAAATGTACAGGTTGAGGAAAAGCAGAAAAACACAAAAGGAAATGTTTTGAGAATTAAATATTAAATCTCAAAAGGGAATAGCCTAATCAGAGACTACAGGTGATAGATAAGGCTTAGTGTAGACATTTCTTTTATTTTAAACAAAGTTCTCACTCACTGGCATTGACTCATTATGAGCCTACAGAACAGGATAAACTGCTTGCTGGTGTTGCTGAGACTATAATTATTTACAGGAGTAGAGAGCTTTGTCTTTTCCCCAAGGAATGGATAGGATAGTGGTTTCAAACCGCTAACCTCATGATTAGCAGCAGAAGGCATAACCCACTACACCACCAGGAAACAAAGCTAGGTGTTTTCCTCCATGTCATAGGGATAGGGGACAGCAATAGATATACTTTGCCCTCAGTTGACCCCAATCTAATAAATGGTATTTAACGTTAGCTAAGATCAGAACATTAGCTAAACTACCTGGAAAGATGACTATCAGGATAATGCCCTAAAATCACTTTCTCTCAGTTGAATCTAAATTGTGGGTTTCCTGGGATTGAAAAGATATATTCAGGTTGTCGATACCACTGCATCTTGTTTTTATTCTTTGTAGAATTTGCCATCATTTATTTATTTTTCTACTTGGTCATTGTTAATCAGCCCATTCTAGAATATGAACTTCATAAAGGCTGGGACTTTATTTTATCACTCTATTCCTTATCTGTATATAATGTCTGGCTCACACATTATGCACTCGGTAGACTTCGTGAATAAATCAAATGATGAATGATGTGCATTTTGAATTTACGCTTAGGAAGTCAGAAGCAAACATCACTACCTAGGGAAGCCAAGAAGGCCAATACTATTTTGTAAAGTATCAAATGACTAACCCAATGACTGAAGTTGTTAACAGAGCGAAGGGATCAGAAATCAGAGAATTTAGAAAGCTTTTGACAAGAGGAAAGAGCCCTGGTGATGCTGTGGGTTAGGTGCTGGGTTGCTAACAGCAAGATAGGCAGTTTAAACCCACCAGTCATTATGTGGGAGGAGGAGGGGCTGTCTGCTCCTGTAAAGACAGACAATCTTTACAGGACCACTAAGGACAATTACACGTTGTCCTTTAGAGTTGCTGCTATGAGTCGGAATCAACTCATGGTAGTGGGTTTAATTCTGTGTGTTTAACTAGAGAAAAAAAATTCAAAGATGTTTTCTCTGTGTCCTGTTCCATAAGCATTATGAGCACATACAAAAAAAAAAAA